TGTGAGTGAATGGTGTGTGAGTGACCGGTGTGTGAGTGAAGCATGTCCAGCCTCACCTGATAACCTTCGACAATTTGCTGGTAGACGGGCAACCACCACACCATGGCTTCGGTGGCGGTCATGGCCCGCGCCACGACCTCAGTCGGAGCCTCCGAGGGAACTGGGGGGACAGGAAGCATCAGCAGACATCAGCAGCTCCCTGTTTCTCGCTGTACGACTCATGGCTCAAGTCTCTATTTTTAAAAGACCTACAACTGGAATCACACCTTACTGCTGGGCGCAGTACAAAGTACATTGAAATGCTTCAACCAGTCCCTGTTTAAAGGCTTAATAGGGCAGCTAAGGAAAGGAAAGGGTTACATTAAGGTAGAGGGGATCATCTGACCCCTGAAGTAGCATGGTTATATTCCAATAGTAATTCATAATGGGGATCACTGTTCAGGAAACTCAATGCCATGGAGCAGCAGTGAGAGAGCCTGAATTCAAAAGTGGGAGAGGCATCATTTGCATTTAAAAGAGACGAAGCCCTGATGATATCAAATCAGCCAATCATAGCAAAGAAACATGCGAAGGCAGGCCTTCATTCCAAAAGGCTCCCTTCAGCCCCCGTTCCCCGACTCGCATTCCTGGTCACACGCATCCTTCTTTAGCTTTAAGCATCCAAACCCTTGATGTTGTAGGATGCCGATGGGAGCAGGGAGAAGTGAGAACAAGGGACTACAGAACCGAGGTACAAGAATGGAGGACGTAGGGAACAAGGGCAGAGATGACAAGAAGATAAGGGACTAGAAGCAGGGAACAAAAGATAAGGGAACAGAGAATGATAAGGCAGTAGGGCACAGGAAGCACGGGGGAAGGCTGAAGCAAACTGCAGCAGACTCACCATCCTGCGCGGTGTATATGACGGCGGTCAGGCTGTAGGGACCCTCTCCCTTGATGTTATAGGCTTTCACCTTCACCTGGAACTCTGTGTTGGGCAGGATGTAGGAGTCCTTGTGCACATAGCGCCTAGCTTCCGGGTCGGCCACTGTCACCCGTCTCCACTCATACTCGTCGTGCTGTTTGAAGGCCACCACGTACCCGAACTTCTTCCCGTTGTAGTACTGCGGCAGCAGGGGCTGGAGATGCATGTCAAGACGGCAAAGTTTTCTAACATTCCTGCCTTGGCATCCGGGTTGATGGCGGGAGGTTAAGTCTGGCTTGGGCCCAGGGCTCAGAGACATCGCACAAGTAAAGCCCACATCGCACAAGTAAAGCCCACGCTGCATCACAAATTAAGCCCACGGCGCACAAGTAAAGCCCACGGCGCACAAGTAAAAGCCCACGCTGCATCACAAATTAAGCCCACGGCGCACAAGTAAAGCCCACGGCGCACAAGTAAAAGCCCACGCTGCATCACAAATTAAG